CTCCTCCTCCTCCTCCTCATCCTCCTCAACCTCCTCCTCATCCCCCTCCTGAAACACACCCTCGCCCTCCTCCTCATCCTTCTCCTCCTCCTCCTCCTCCTCGTCCTCCTCCTCCTCCTCCTCCTCCTGCTGCTCCTCCTGCTACTCGACCATTCTGCGCCCATGTGCGCCCGACCGCTGGGGGGCGCGCAGCGGGCGATGCGGCTGCCGATGTGAGAACGGCACTGCTCCCGGCCAGCAAGGGAACTCTTCGAGGGCTGGCGGCAGACGCCACAAGGACCGAGCAAGCGAAAGAGTTGGGGGAGAGTGTGGCTCGCAAGAGGGGGGCGCAGAGGTGATCTGGCTGTGCCGCCAGCGCCCGTACTCCATGAGGTACGAGAATTAAGGGCCTCCAGCGAAGCACGCCTCGACACGCCAGATGCTGCAGTCGGCGAAGTGCTGCGGGGCCCAGTGGGACCAAAGGAGGCGGAGGTGGACGGGACGCACGACCGCCGATCATCGCGAGGCACGCGGAGACGAAGACCGTCCAGCACATGGGTGCTACTTGTTACAGCATGTTCCCAATTTCCGGATGATGGGGGGCGCCTGGTTGTGCACTGCACCGCCCGCCCGAGGGCCCATGACATTTGCGCTCGCAGTTCGGACATCAATTTCGTTCTTCCCATCACAAGGCTGCACGGAGTCGTGCTCAATCTGCAGAAGCACGGCACGTCTCCAGCGCAGCTCAACGGCAAGCACCATGCACAACTGTCCAGAGTACGCTTGGTTATGCAAAAGCAGCCTGTGAAGGAGCGCACCCATCAACACAAAGTTGGCTTGAGCCAAACGTCATCAGCAGTGGTTGACGGAGATTCATTGTGCTCTCTGGTGCTAAAATCCGCACTGGATAATGGTGTGGATTACGAGGCGCAAACCATCCACTGAGGCTCCGAGTCTGTCTGTCGCGAGCATGCCGCCTCAGGGTCCATCGACCCTCGCGGGCCCCATCCCGCAGACTGGAGGAAGCGAGTCACCGTGGCAGCCGTCAAGGTGTCTGCGCATGTGGTTCCGCTGGGAGCGCCATCCCGGATCCTGCGTCGACCCTCGCAACTGCTCCGCCCATGCCCCACATGCTGTGAATGCTGCATTTGCGCGTAACTTCCAGCGCCGATCTACCACGACTCCTGCGCCACCGACCAGCCCTGGCTCGAGGGAGCCAGGGCTGCGCCGCCTGCCCGCTATGCAGCACCTCGGCCCTCCCTCTTTCCCTGCTCACGTGCTGTAGTGATTCCCGGGCAGACGCAGTCTGCGGAGGGGCGACCAGAACCTGTGCCGGCCCCCTGCAGATGCTCAGTCGTTCTTGTCAGTCTTCCCACTGCTCGCGGTCCCTCGCGAACGCGGCCACGACGGGCCACGACGGCCCTAGCCGCCACCGCCCCCTCCAAATTCGGCCAGAACCTCTGAGCCTTGAGAGTCCTCCTTGAGTCAAAATAGCTCGAGCCGAAATGGCTCGAGCCAAAACGGCTCGAGCCAAAATGGCTGGAACACGCTTGACCCTGCAGCGCCTCGTAGCACAATCCGCCATTATAGTCATGTTCTGCGTATTTTTCCTTTTGCTCCCCCTCCCTCAAGCAGCTTCGACCCGAGCGCATTGTGAGTCCGAATCGAGTCGCCTCACCTCCACGTGGCGCACAAGGGGAAACCGCTCGTCGACTCTCCCTTCAGTCCGTGGCTCAGGCTTGCATAGAGGGCGATAGCAAAATCGAAGGCGAAGACTCTGTCCGCACGTGAAGGCCCACCTTGGATCAAATGCCAGAGCTGTGGGATAAAATAATAGGCAGCTGTTCATCAGCATTAAGATCGTCGGTGCAAGTGCGGGTTTTGGGCGGGCTTGCAGGTTGTCAAATCGAAGATGGAGCCAGCGGGAAAAAATCAACATCCAATGCGCTTGCCCCCCCGCCTCTCCATCCCCAACGGCAGTTTCCCCTCCTTCCCCAAGGCAGCCGCTTTCGACAAGGCGTTGGCTGTAGCGACCGACCTGGTCATGCGCTAGATCACCCAGGCTCAAGGTGGAAACTATCCAACCGAACGCCTCTGCCGAGGAAGCCATTCGACTTGCTGCCGCGGCGGCGAAGGACGCCAACGTGGAGTATGACCAGGCCACGTCGGCTCTCCTCAAGAGGCGCAGGAGGGGCCCCAACGGGCGAAGTAGCACGAGGACGGTACCACATGGACGCTGGCATCCGCGGAGCCGCCGAGGAACGAGAAAGTTGGCTGGCAAGGAGTTGAACGAACAAGATCGTTGGTGATCGCGGATCCTCGAGCTTCGCGGACGCCCGACGATCCCCTCTGCGAGGTGCCCCGGGGCGACAAACCCTTCGTGCTGTCGGTCATCCTCGGGCGCGAGGGCGGCGGGCGGGATTCTCCGAAGATCCAGCAGGTGCAGCGGGAGATCGAACGAACGGCGCCTCGGGAAGAAGCGCCGGGGCAAGGGGCTGGCAACTTCACGCGGGCGCCGACGGCCCAGCCGCGGGCGAGGGGCCTGCGCCGACGGCGGCGGCGAAGGCACCCGCAGCGGCCCTCCGGCCGCCGCCCGGCTGCCGCCCAGACGGCGGAGCCGAGGCCCGGTCCGCGAGTCAAATGATGAGCGTGTTTTCCACCACCACCACCATAAGTTGGAGGGGGGGGTCCTCCTCCTCCTCCTCCTCCTCCTCCTCCTCCTCCTCCTCCTCCTCCTCCTCCTCCTCCTCCTCCTCCTCCTCCTCCTCCTCCCCCTTCGCCCCATCCAACTTATGGTGGTGGTGGTGGAAAACGCGCTCATCATCAAAGAAGGCAGCGGCCGAGGCCGCGAGGCTCGGAGGAAGAGTTGCCGATGCCCGCTGCCGTGGCCTGGCGTTCGCCTTTTTTGGGGGGGTCTCCCAGGCGGCCCCCGTCAAGACCGCCGGATTCGCCTCGGAGTCCTGGTCAGAACGCGCCCAGGGAGAGGTCTGGGGCGCAGCGGCATCGGTGCGTCGTGGCTCCCCTGGAAGCGGCTCTTGGCGGGGGGGCGGGGAAGGGGGGCGCGGCCCCCGCGGCCGACGGCGCGGCTGCGGGAGGAGATCGGCCCCCTCCCCCTCGCGCGCCCCGCCGAGCAGCGGCAACCAAAAACGCCAGGGGGGGGGCTCCCGAGGAGGGGACACTTGACGGGGCGCGGCTCTTCGCTCGGCTGCGCGCCGGCCCGCGCCAGGCGCAGGCGGCTGCGGGGGGCAAGTAAAGGGGAGGACCAGCGCTGAGTCTCCCGAGTCGTGCTCTTCGACTGGCGCCGGCTCGGCCCTCATGGAGTCGGGGACGATAGCAGCGAGTGGAGAGGCGCTGCTCTCGTTTCGTCAGCGTGGGTATTATGAGAAAGAAAACGTTTGGTGTTTTCACGACTGGTCGGCATCGGAATTTAAAGTGCACGGCAGTGCGCGGGCCTCATGTTGATCTAGACGCAGTTTTAGCACCTCGGGTGCACCAAGCCACCGAGGCGCGACTCGAGCTTGTCTCGAACCTCGCCCGACGGGCGGGCAGGGTCACCGCATGGCGAAGCCGAGGCCGCATTAATAGAGTGGGTGGGAGGTGGGCGCGAGGGGAGGAGCGGGTTTGGGTTCGGGAACACCTCAAGGCGCTTAGCCTTGCGAAGTCGGAAGCGCAGTTAAGGGACGTCAAGGCTAACGGCCCCAATTCTCTCGACTACTGCAGCAAAAGTGCCGCGAGACAACGCAGTCCTGCATCTTGATTATCTTCGACGGCTCTCTGGCGAAAGGCTCGCGGGGTGCAATCTCCAACGTTTCGCCCATCTCCAGGCCCTTCTGCCGCCCGCGGGTGGTCGCTCCCGACTTAAATTTGTCAGCGGCGGTCATCTCGCGAACTGGCTTCCAAAAATCCGAGTGGGGGTGCATGTACGCCTGGCGCATGCGCGCACCTTGGTTGCGTCATTGTCAATTCATTTTGGTTCATGCGGCTGCATTTGCTTAGCTGCCCCCCGGGCCTCCCCTTGCTAGACATAGATGAGCGCCATAGCTGCTGATGGCCCCCCCTTGTGGCGGCGGTTGTGCAGGCGGCGATCCGGGAGCACGCGCCGAGGCGCACTATTGCTGCTGTGGCTGCTGTGGCTGCGGGCACTGTGATCTCTGCGGATGCGCGGCCCTCTGCGCCAGCGGCTCTGCACAAGGAGCGAGCTCAGGATGCACAGGGCAAAGCTAAAGCCGCCGATGATCCGAGGTGTGCGCCGGGCCCAACGTTTACGTAAGAAGGAGTGGCGCCGGGCTGCCAAGCAGCAGGCGGCACATGATGGTCCGGTTCCTCCTTATCTTCCTGATGGTCGCGATGCGGCCATACAACACTCAGCAGGTGCAGCCGGCCTACCCGCAGTCTTCGGGGGAAGTCCTGCTGCAGAGCCCGCTCTGGTGCCTGCTCTACGTCAGGACGCTGCGTCGCCCTCGCCGTCTGGCCGTACAATGTCTGCGTCGGCGGCGCGGCCAGCACCGCTC